TTTTCCCAAAAATTTCCCTATGCTAAAAGGAATTTCATTTCACCTCAAGATTTCAACTTGATTCTGCTTTTTGTACAGTAGTCTTGAAAAGGAGTACATATAGCTTGTGATCCATGGAGAAATATATGAATCCACCTACAGAATGTGTGACAAAAGAGCCAAAACTGGTCCCTACTATACAGTGCCATGCTGGTCCATAGACCCCATCAAACTCCTAAAAATTCAAGAAAAAACACATTTTTAACAAAGTAATGAAAAGCTCGAAATCTCATAATCACTAAAGATTGCACAATCATTCAAGTGTTTACCTTTTTTAGGGAAAATCCAAGTGATTTAGAGGAGAACTTTTCCAAGCTATCATGAGCCTTTCTTGCAAAATCCACAGCATGAATCTGCATAAAGGGTGGCATATCAACAGACACAACTTTCACAGCACTACAAGAAAAGAAATCAGCCAACTCAGTCTCTGAGCAGCAGAATGATTTCCTCCTGCCTCCACCATTCATAGACAAGGAAAAAGATGGCCTTTGTTTAAACCCCTTTTCACTATCTTGGTTCTTGGATAACAGAGCTAAAGCCCTTTTCACATCCACCTCTTTCTTCAACTCCTTCTCCTTATTGGGTATTTTCTTGATTTCACCCTTTTCTTGCAAGACAACAGCTTTATCAACATCCTTGTGCACATATCTCCTCCCATGTTGGCTTTTTGACTTGGTCAAAGCAGAGCATGAAGAATCATAAGCAGCAGCTAGAGTTTTAGCCTGTAAATGAGTGTCAACAGGTGGAGGATGTCTATGGCCAGATTTGAGTATTTTGTGATTTGCATAGAGCTTGGAAAAGTGTGAAGAGATGTTTTGGATAGTGGGGGTGGTGGCGGAGAAAGGAGTAGGTTTAGGTTGCTTTTTAAGAGTGGGATCCATTGCAGGAGCTGCAGCTAAGGTCTAATTTTGGGGAATAACTAGAAATGAAAGAGGAAAGAGTAAAAATGGGAGAGAAATAGTGTAATTTATTGTACTGGATTGGGACCTGTGATACTTCAGCTACACCTCTTTTTACCCTTTTAAGTTAAGTGCGCCGCTTGCGGAGAAAAATAAGGCACATTGTTGACCGACTATTATTTATTAGATCGCGTTTATTTTAGTGATGTTTCTAATAAGATTTTAGTTTTGCAAACAAAAAGTGATGAAACATAGGTTGATTGGTCACTATATTAATAATTTTTATTCTAACAAGAAAATTAATATCCTTTTTTTTACTGAATTTTAAAAATTTAAGGTATATGAAATGAATTATAAAATTTCTAAAATGAACCTAGAGCACTGATTGCTTGGAGCAACCGTCATTTAGATGGCATTTATAGTCAAATCTTAATGTTGGGTGTGTCATATTTAATGATCCATCAAAATCATGTATTCGTTGCATCTCTCATTCTTAGAAAGCAACAAAACGTGAGTGGTCTGTTCTGGTCAACACAACCTAACTACCTAACTCTTGTTGGTAAATTTTGAATATAGGTAACTTGCTTTTCTTTTGCTTTGTTACCGTCATATACTGATTGTCACCTACATGCAATCAATTTGACCAATTAATTTTGAATCTGTGATACTTTAATATTAATAAAATATAATATATTATGTTATGACGTTATATTTGTATCTCTTTATTCTCATCAATTATGGAAGAAAGTGATCATTAGTTATTATTGGCCTTTCATTCATTATTCGACCTTTTTATTATTACAAACAATGTAACCTATAGCCACTCACTTTCCCTATTAACTACTCATTATCTTCCATTCATTATCAGGAAGATTTTCGTCCCTATATATATTGAGTTTGTGTAGTGAAAGTAAGAGTGAGACAAAAAAAAAATGATCTAAGTCTTCAACTATATTTACTATATAAAAGAAAATAATTATATGTTGAAGAATGTGTTTTTTTTTTTTGAGCTTTGGACTCTTCAACTGATCTGGAGTTGTTTGAGTTATACAACATTGTTGGGTTGTTGTATTTCGGAGGGGACAAGTCAAGAATATTGTTGCTGAATTAGTGTTGATTATGTCGCAGTGGGCTTGAATCTCTTAAAGAGAGCGAGATCAGGGATAGACCCATACTATATGGAGGGAATGCACGTGCATCCGCTAACTTTCGAAAAAATTATATGTATATCTATTTTGAAAATTTTGTAGAAATTAAGCTATACTAAACAGTGCACCCATAGAAAAAACATAGAAGTGTCCTTTAGCTATTGGTAGAAGCTAGACTTACTACAGACTAGGGATGAAATCCTACTTAAGCCTATTTCTATTTTAAATTTAGCTTAGATCTCATATTTGAGCTATGTTTATATTGGAAGCTATGTTTATATTGGTGCACCCACATGAAAGTCAAGAGAGGGGTGAATTAAAATTCCCTTCAGTCAACTTCCTACTCTGGTCAGTCGACTCATCTGCACGTTAGTAAAACAAACAAACAGTAATGATAACTTGCAGTAAGTAAATAACATAGAGTGTTTTTATACTGGTCCGGATCACCAATGTGGTGCCTAATCCAGTCCCGTTGGATTACAAGGGTTTCCTTAAGAGCTTGTTGAGAACTTTGGTCTTACAGAATGTTACAATTAAGAGCCCATCTGATATGCAAATCAGACCTTCTTCTTTGACACAACCTCTACATGTAAAGCCTACTCTCAAATCTTCCTACTCTCAGGTGTACAGAGTTTTACGAAAGATAAAATAAGATTATAATATAAGTTCAAGTGAAGTGTGTGCTTCACATCTAAGACTGAGACAGGTTTAAATAGCTGTGAAAGATGATGTCATGTTTCAGAAACCCAAGGGAGTTATAAATCAAAAATCCTTAGATGATTCCTTGATTTATTTGAATTGATTTGCTGAATCATGTCCATATAAGATATGTGAATGATTAAATCAATTCCTTCCTTTGTTAAATGAACTCATTGAATCTTGGTTGATCTTCAATATATTTCTTGAATCTTTGGCTGATCTTTAATCTTCTAATCTTCAATCTCTTCCTTGAATCTTGACTGAATGATTTACAGATATTTCTTTTCCTTAATCTTGGCTGATTGATTTACTACATTATCTTTCTTGAATCTTTGGCTGCTCTTTTAATCTTCTGATCTTTTCACTCTCTTTCTTGAATCTTTGCTGATTGATTTACAGATATTTCTTTTCCTTAGTCTTGGTTGATTGGTTTACGAATATTTCTTTCCCTTCTTTAGCCTCCTGCCTTTCCTGTTTTGCTTCGTTAATCCAGATTAGGATTTTGTTCCTGCTTTGTGTTGTTTTCTGTAATGTTGTCATGACTTCTAGGCTGCTCGTATTATTCCTTGTTAATTTCTGCGAGTTGTCATCAATCAGAATATCATAAGTTAACACCAAAGTGTTCAAATCCTGGGTTCGACTCTGAGCGAGATATCCGTGTCTCAGCCTAAAAATTTATTAAGTCATATTAGTTATTTTATTTCAATCTTAATTTATTATATTTGTGATATATTACCCCAACAAAATCTTATCCCCTCCTCAATTTTGAATTACTGTGATTTTGAACCCAAGATCTTCATGTAATGTTTTTTATTACTCTTCCATAGGGGTGGCAAATGATTGGATTGGATCGGATTTGGATGGGTTGAAAAAAAATGGTTTGGATTACAATCCATCCAAATATAATATGGGCAAATATGAATTAGGTCAAATAGTTCTACCCCATTTAAAAAAAAAATAATTATCCCTCCCTACAGGCACCCCTTCCCCCCCCCCCCCCACCATCCACCAATTATCCCTAAAAAGAATTTGTTTTTGAAAAAAAAAATTACCCTAATCAATCACCAAGCTACCCCTAAAAATTTAAACGTTTTTTTTTAAAAAAATGAAAATTTACCCCCCCCCCATCGGCACCCCCTGCCCCCCCCCCCCTTTCCACATCCCACATTCCACCAACCTACCATTAAGTTTTTTTTTTTGTTTTCGATAAACAAAAAAAAAAAATACTCCCTTCCCCGGGCGCCCCTTCCCCACCTTTCACCAATCGACCAAAAAAAATTTGCTTTATTTCTCACTTATGTCGGCTTGATATAGATTCTCATGTTAACTCATTTTGTCTATATTTGTATGAGCTTAAATAGGTTGAAGACCATATTAACCCATTTAAGAAAAGAAAAGAAAATATAATCAATTTAATTTAATATGAACAAAATAATTTCATTCACTTATATGGGTTGAAATTACCACCCCTGCTCCTCGAGTCTTGTGTTCTCAAGCAGAGTGTGCAAACAAAAAAAACCACGTAAGGTGAGGATGGAATGAAAGGGATAGGAGGTGCAGCAACAACTCTTGTAAGAATAAGACGGCAGCATGGGTTGCCCATACGTTGCACCACAGCATATTCACATTACACGTACTCTTGTTGACAAATTTTTCAAATTTTACTTTTTGTATCCCACAAAGTAGAGTGAGATTAAAATCCATTAGCCAAACATCCGTTTGAATTAGAGAATTGTTTCTCAGCACATATTGAACAAATAACAAATTTCAAGATTCTATAAACACATATCTAGATTCAAAAATTAAGCCATGGCGCGGGTGTACTCTGTAGTATTCAACAGAGCACCAGATAACTCTGCCTACCAAAGCTTACGTAGACATGACCTCTTGTTTGTCTAGCAACCAATGTGATAAGAATGTTTAAAAACAGAAAATGCTGCGGAAACAAATGCTGTTTCTTTTTATGATGATGGTGTTGGAGAAGTGAAAAGTAACAAGCTAAACTAAAAGGAGGTTGTATCTACTAAAAACTCATTAGATGACGCGAAAACTTAAATACTTTCACTTGTTAGGCAAGCACAATTCAACAGTGTATCACTGCAACAGCTTGGACCAGTCCCAACTCTATTAAATAGAGAAATTGCATTAACTTAGCTATTGGAGACATGAAACAAAGCTAAGTCTAATTCTTCGCCATCAATTAGTGGCATTGTCACTAGTAAAACGGATCCTCAGAGAGGCCAGGGAAGTTCAAGAACATGTCATTTTCACATTCTAACATGGCTTCGACAAATGATGACGATGATGTTCCCTTTGTAGATAACGAGTTCTCAAAATCCTTAGTTGATGGCACGTTGTTTGATCCATCCTCAGCTCCACCACACACTAACTTTTCTTCTATGGTTAACGTATCTTCTTGAGCTTTGAAATTTGATGGAAGAAATTCATCGTCAAGAAGATAGTCACACCAGTTTACTTGATTATCAGCTAATGAATGAGATGCTGATGATGAAGACGAAGATGACAAAGGCGAAGACGTAGAGCAATCAGTTATAGGATTTGGATTATGGGAGAAAACTGCCTTTGGGGAATTGTAATTTGAGGCTTCTGTTACAAACTTTATGGCTTGTAACTCGGAGAACAGATCAACAGGAGGTTGATTAATATTGCTGGAATCTTGATTGTTGCTAAAGAAGCACTCTTCTGAAGCTTCTGTTTTAGGCAGCTTCACACAAAGGCTGTTAAAGTTTTGGAAATTTTGTAAAGAATGTTGAAGTTGTTCTGGTCTAGACATAAATGCACCTTTTAGCTCTCTGTTAAGAGATACGAAACGTGTTCTGGCTTTCGGAAAGCCACCAATGTTACCATAGTCTGTGAGGATTTGTGAGAAAGGCTTGTGAGTAACAGGATCAATCCCCATTGCAGATAGCTTTTTTTTCAGCTTAGTGTTCCACAGGTTCTTCACATCATTATCCGTTCTCCCAGCTAGTTGTTGTGCTATTATAGACCACCTACAATATTTTGAAGTGTCAAAACTATAGGCTACTCGTAATGTTTGTCAATACAACCTTCAGAAAACAAATTTTTTCATTACTTCAACACGATGCTTATCAACTACTTTTAATTAGCTAAGATGAATTGAATTTGATCGAACTATTCAGAGCATACACCGAGACTATTGCTTAATGTGTTAGAGGACACACCTGCTTCCTATAGTGGCATGAAGCTTAATGATCAGTTCCTCTTCTTGAGGCGTAAAGCTGTCCTGTTTAAGATCAGGCTTTAGACGATTGTTCCATCTCTGCTTCTGATTCCTCCCACCACATCTCCCGTGTCCTGTTAAAAATTGCACTCATTTACAAAAATCTTGAAATTTAGCACTTGACAAATTGTTAATTAAATGAATCTTAAGCCTAACGAACTCAAAGTAAACTCATGAGGCGATCAAAATCACTCATAACCAAATTAAGAAAACTACATTATACACCCTCAGACCTCAACCAATGTGAGCATGTTTCACATGTCTAGATCAGAAACAACTGAAGTGTGAATAACATAACATCAGAGCCAACATTGGGAAACACAAAAGCACTGATGGGTCCTACTTTAATAATATGTTGAAAAAATAGATTACGAGCATAACTGAATCCCCAATGCTAGATCATAATGTAAAGATTATACGAGACCAACAACTCATCGATCGATCGAGTTTGTACCTGATTTCTTAGACATGGTTGCCCAATTACCAATTCCATGTTTGTTGATTGAGACAAATGTAGATGTGTTAGCATCCTCTTCTATCCAATTACATTTTCTATTATGTACCTTATCATTACAACAAGGAGGTCTTCCCATTTATAATATATAGTAATGAATGTTGAAGAAGAGATATGAATTAATAACATTAGTCTCTCAAGTTTTGAACCTTCTTATGGATGGCCTAAAAGAAGGCAAGAAAAGCATGAGATTACTTTCCATTTAACTATTTTGCTTGATGGAATGTATTTTCCGTCAAACAGTTTTTAGATGAGTTATTAAACAAGGTCAAAGAAATATACAAGTTTCAAAGAGCGTTTGAAATAGGTTCGAATTGGGTGAATTAATTTGGTTAAACATTGAATTATTATTTTGCAAATAAACTTATATAATATAGTAAATACAACTCTCTTTTAGTTTCACACAAGTTTTTGAGAATTATTTATTATAAAAAAAAAACAAATGAAGAAAATATGAAAATGACCGTTTGTTCTCTGCTTAAAACCCCACAGCTTTGGCATGATAAAGAGATTATTAATATTTCATGTTGGAAATTAGTTTGATATCTACTATTACATACACATAGGAGTAATAATATATATATTATTAGAGAGGAGAGTCAGTCAAATATCTCATGAGTGTGGCGGTGGAGTTAGGATTTTACTTAGGAATTTAAAATATAATAAAACGTGGCGTCGTTTGATATGAGGTATAAGGTATAATAATTTTAAGAATAGAATGTAGGACTATTTTATCTTGCATTTTTGTTTAAGATATTAAGCCATCTTAAAATTATTTATCTTACCATTTATACCTTAATAATGAAATAACTAATCCCAAAATAACTTATTCACGATCAAACCATCAAATCCTACAATCAAGAGTATAGACCAATTAGAAGAACAATAAAGTGACTTTTCTAATTATTTTTTTATATATAAAAAGGATTTTATTATAGGGAAAGGGTCTGATATACCCTCAACTTTGTCATTTAGAGCTGATACATCCCTCGTTATAAAAGTGGCTCATATATACCCTTACCGTTGTACAAACGGCTCACATATACCCCTGCCGTTACAAAATGGCTCACATATACCCTTCATTTAATGGAATTTTAAATAATTAGTTTTAAATTTATATTTATTACTTATAATTTTTTTAAAAAATTATTTAGTGGTATATATGATTCTTCTATAAAAGTTCAAGATATATTTTAATT